CTTTGTGGGAATAAAAATTCAGTGTGTGAAAAACAAAGCCTAAGCATGATGGAAGTTGAAAACAAAACTCACAGTTAAATGTTAGAGTCGATTATTCTTGTTTCAATCTAGGCATGTGCTGTAGTAATGAAATGCTTTTCACAAGAGTGTGCAGACAGAAGTCCCAGAGCCAGGCATGTTTTGCAAAAAAGCCATGATGAAGAGAAGTGATTTTTGTAGCAGCACAAGAAAAAGAAGTAATATAAACTGCTTCATGATGTCATTTCTATTAGCTCTGGCCTTCGGGCTCATCTGCAAGTTTTCCCATTTCTTATGAAAGCTGTCTTTTTTATTCCCAGAAGTTATTCCTTACAATTATAGTCACTCATGTGGTGGCATGGATCCTGCAAAGGTCTTGTTGGCTTGGAGGAAAGACAGGGGGTAGAGCCAGGGGTCAACTTATCCAAGCTTAAAAATTGCATCTCACAGTGGTATTCAAAGAGGATCGTTCCACATGCATGTCTCTTGTTTCCTTCTCTTCAAAACATTCTGGGCCACAGCTTCCTGCCTCGCTCTTGCATTTTAATCCCCTGGCTTGGCATTACATCAAGCTCCTGGCGTGGCATGAATGACTTCTCTCATTGCCCCTAAGGGCTTGGGTTCTGTCATCTGTGGCTGTCATTGCGGAGATGCAAATGAAAGCTTCTTTGAGGTGAATTGAAGTCAATGTGGCATTGCCTAGCCCCAGCCCAGCAGTGCTCTAAATGCAGCACCTTCCGAAAGCAATATTCCCCTCTGTTTTTCTTGGCCTTCACAACTGCACACCCACCTTTTCTTTCCAGGGTAGTCCCCAAACCATATCTGTACCGTGTACTACTTCCGTATCCATACCTGCTTCCCAGATATACCCAGTCAATATCACCTGCCTCTTTGAGGGCTTAGCCATTCTAACATGGAGGAACTTTAGCTTTTCATCAGTGTGATTGTGGCATAGGCAAACTTTGGCACCATTCTATTTCTCCTTTTTGTAATCCTCCTTTTCATCTTTTTATCTCTCTCCTGCCTGTTCTCAGACATCCAGTGTCCTGTGCAGACTTACTATTTCCCAGGACTGACCACCTTCTTACCCCTTTCATCTACCCCTGGAAGAAAAGCATATAATCAGTGAATCCACCCAGGTACACTAAAGACACGTTATCACTTGTGATATCCCATTATCCCCAACACAGGGATATTTTTTGAAAAGAGAAGGTTATGGCATTTCATATAAAATAATATCTAATTATAAAATCTAACACTAAACCAGAATGGGGAGGCTATTTTTTTAGGTAAATTGTTTTTCAGGTTTTAAAACCTAAACAGGTTTTAAACGTTTCAAGCTGCACTTCAGTTCTCATTTCCTTCCTCAACAAATAGAAATGCATCCAATCATTCCCTCTTTCAACACATCTGTTGGGCACCTAAATCATACACAATCCTAGTATTTAGGATATAACTATACTTCTAAGAACTTTCAGCCCAGTATGGAGACAGAAAATTATGTGTAATCCAGAACAGTGTGGTATGGGCCTAAAGAGGGTATGCTGTGGGGAGACATAGAGATGTATCCAGCACAGGTTTGGGTGCCACAAGGGACAGTAATGACTAAGCCAAGTCTGAAGCTACAGGAAGAAGTATCCAGGGGAAAGGGAGAAGCAGGTAGTCCAGAGAACAGAGGGAATATGGTGATGGGGTGGTTAGGAGTGCAAGGGTTAGGAGTGCAACACCTACAGTGTTGGGTTTATGTGGGGTAACAAAAGCCACAGCACTAGGTGTATAGTGAGCACTTACAGTGAGCTAGGCAGTGCTCGAATTCTTTGCAGGCCCTTCTCCTGGGTTCAATGCCACCATCAACACAAGGAGCAGGAGACTGACCATACTCTGTGCACTGCCCATCACCCAGGCAATCACTATCACATCACACTCTGCTGAGAAAGATTTAGGACTGATTGCATCACCTCCTCCATCTCTATGGCCACAGATCCCCATGAGAAGCTCGGTCTGATCATTTCTTGTCACCTTGAGTAGCCCCACAGAGCTCTGTCCATCACTGACCCTGACCCAAAATAGCAGCATCCTAAGCACTCAAACCTTCCACAGTACCTCCCTGGATGTGTCATCTATTACCATCAAAACTGGCTGCTCTGCAGTCTTGTCTTTGAATAGCACTCATCTGTTTGTTGAGCTCTTCCAGAAGACTCTGCTTCCATGGGGTCCAGAAGAAGAGGAGAGGTCCTGTTTGCTCTTCATTGCTACTTCCTATCAATGTTAGCTTTCTCCTCCCTAAAGATCCCCTATCTTCCTTGAAATTATGGCATCATGAGCTTCTCTTCATCATTGCAGTCAATTGAAGGTCTCAGAGTCACTCACCACCCCTCTTTCAAGATTCTGGCACCAGGCTCATGGTCTCTGTCACACCTGCCTCCTGCCATAATGCTTGGTGATTTTCAAACCCATGTGGAGGATCCTTCCCCCAACTGGCCTCTCACTTTCTTGATCTCTTCTCCAATATTCTTGTCCTTTGCCCTACCTCAGCTATCCATACATCTTGCCTTTGTAAGTAACCATATGCATTTCAAAGTTTTTCCATTCTGCTTCTACTTTCTCTCTACTCCATTCAGCCCACTCTCTCCAGTCCTCTGATTCTAGAAATTTCTCAGCCTCAGCCCCACCAATCACCAATCCACTGATTCTTCACATTGCCTCTACTCTCATATCCTCTGTTCCCTCCATGTCCATCTCAGATCCCACAGTCCTTCCTTATAATCACTTCCTCATACCCCCCTTGCCTTCCTTTGCCCTCATTCTCTTTGTTGCACTCACTTGGCTGAATTATAAGCTTAGTTAAATCCACCTCTCTGTTTCACCTGTTTCTGCCCCCTAAGCAGCTGAATATGGCAAGAGAAAACAATGGCAGCTAGTTTTATTTTAATTCAATGGCCACGAACCTCCATTGAGCTACTGGTGCTGCCCAGGGATCCCTAGGATATCATGGGGGAGGGTTTATGGAGCCAAACTTCCTGGTTCAGATTCCTCCCTCTGCCACTTACCAGCTGTATCATCAGGGATATTTATCTTCACTTTCTGAGCCTCAGTCTTCTCATGTATAAGGTAGAAAGAAGAATGATACTTATCTCTGGGATCACAGTGAGGATTAAATGAGAGAGCTCTCTGTGTTTCCATCTGTGACCAACCAATCATCTCACTTGTGTCTCAGGTACCCTTACTTCTCAAGTCTCATTGTTTTCTGCTCACTCTGCTGCACCATCAAATTTCACTGATTCACTGGGTCATTCTCATCGCGATGTATGCAAACTCTAGTAACCTTTCTTGACCTATCAACCTTCAGGAAGCCACCCATTTCTCTGCAAAACACCTCTATCTCCTATTTTCTCTTAAATACACTCCTATAAAGTTGTTTTTCACTACTGCTCCATCAAAACTGCTCTCATCAGCGTTACCAGTGAGCACAATCTTGCCAAAACCATGGAAACTTCCCCATCCTTGTTTTATTTGATCTGTCCATTGCATTTGGTATGGCCAGTTCCTCCCTGCTTGAGACTTCCCTCACTTGACTGCTGGGGCACTACACCTTCCTATTTCTCTTTGGCCACTTCTCCTTGGACCTTTTGCTGTTTCCTTCTCATACCCTTGACATCTAAATATTGCAGGGCTGAACCCTGAGCCCTTTCTGTTTCTTCATTTACACTGAGTCTCTTGGCGATCTCGTCCAGTTTCAAGTGTCAAATGGCATCTCTAAGTTGATGATGCCCATATTTATATGCTCTTCCTCCAATATCCTCGTGGCTCATTTTATCATTTCCTTTAGGTCTTGACTCAAATTTCACTTCACAGAGACGCCTTCCCATTTTATATAAAATGGTGTTCTTGCACCATCAGTCTATATATTATATTCTCTTACTCTGTTTTATTTTCTTCATCTGTCATATATTTATTCGTGCATTGAAAGCCTTTTGAGAAGAGAGAAATTATCACTTTGTAGAATGCCTTGTACATAGAAAGCTACCAATACATGTTTATTAAATAAAAGCATGATCTCATTCAGCCCTGACAACACCCCAGCAACCTTATGAGAAGGGTTATTATAGATGAAGAGATGGAATCAAGTTAGCCCATTATCATACAGCAGGCAGTTCAGACAGCTGGACTCCAGAGCCTACATGCTCACCTAGCATGCTACAGAAGCCAGAGGGGTACCTGGAGTCTGGATCACAAGGGTACTTTTACTAGGTATGGAATTGATCTTGAGGATAATAGGGAGCTACTGGAGTGGTAGTGGTGGGGGTTGGGGGGTGACATGCCCTGGGTAAGGTGCTGACTCCATCCAAAATATGTACATACTTGCCTGTCTGCAATTCCTGGGTCATCGAATCATGCTGGCTCAGAAGCCGCCTTGGCTCTGGGTTGGAAAGTTTAGGCTGACAGCATATGCATGCTTTGCTAGCAGCAAACTGGCCTGTGCTGCCAATATTTAAACCAGATTTAGTTAAGAGCTTTGAGTCAACTTTATCTTGATGTCTGTAAAACTGAAAACCTTTCTTGCTGTTTCCATAGCAGCCTGATGGTTGACATAATTCCTAAAGAAGATTATATGTTAATGCCCAAGAACGATTTACTACACTCATGGGCTGCTGACCCAAAATGCCACAACTTGAGCTAGATAGTCTAGGAAATATTAAGCTTTTAAAAGGACATTATATTTCAAACTATAATAAAACAGGATGAGGTTTCCAAAAATCTGATTAAATGAACTTTTAAAATGCCTGTAATTTAAATATTTGACTCCTCTAAAGTTTAGCGCGGTATAGATTCTGGCCTTTCATCTACCTCATGCCAGGGGGGTGAGGCAGTTGTAAGATGCACAAGCTATTTCCATATAGGCAATAAGTACATTTGGTTAATAGATGCTAAAATTTGCAATGTTTCCATGGTGAAATGAACTGCTGTTTTCTGTTTTAAAGGGAACCAACTGTTCGCCCTCCAGTACCTCCAAAGCCCATTTCTCCTGTTTCATCTCCTAACCAGCAGAGACGGGAGAATAGGTGAGACCTGGCATTCCAGAATTTCTTGGCCAAAAGAAGCAGTTATAGAAATGAAAGCAAATGAATTGTGACCTGTTTTGTGCAAAGCATGGGTATGTTTTGTGCACACATTCACTGAAGAAGCACTTGTAAAGCTTTTCTAGTTTTCTATTTGCTGACACAAATATGTGTTTATGTTTGCCTTTGAATACTTATGGCCATTTCCCATCTTATCGAAATACATTTTCAAGATAGAAGCTGAAGTGTTATACATGAATACATATATAAATACATATATAATGACATATATAAATACACAGAAACTATACATATGTTTTTTTACTGAAAACATATATATATATATATATAATATATGTATTATCTATACATACAGTTTATATTTACTCCTAGTTAAGTTTCCCATTAAAAGCTACATTTTCTGATAAAAGATGTTCTTCAACTTTGTGTTACTACTCAAGCTCTCCCTTATGTTAGAAATACTTTTGGGTAGCTCCTTAGTCTTGTGTTAGCTAAGGAATTTGCAATTTATTTCAAACCAATTACATTTTTAAAAATGTTCTGATTAACCTGTCTCCAAATAAAAAAACAAAAACAGACTTGCTTTTCCATTTTGAATCTCTGACAGTCTATAATTAATACTTACAAACAAATTCAGAGATCTGAAAGTTTTCCCATGTGTTTATGTTAAACTGTTTAAAAGTCTCAGGCTGTTTTTTTAAGATGTGCATTGCACATTTCCGTTATTATTGTGAGATTTAAAAAAAAAAATGTTATTTCACTGAAGACTGACTACATTAGATCCACTTGATTGCCTGCCTTTGATTCTTTTGTATTTTTGCATTTTGATGGTGATTTTTGTTGACAACATGAAAGAAAATTCTAGAACTATTCTTCAGAAAGCGGGTAACTTCAGATAGAAAATGCTGACTGGGCAGCAGTAGCACTAGGTGTTCAGCCTATTGAGTTAAAAAACTATGTCTGAATTTCTCTTCAGTGAAACTTCACAAGATCTTTGAAATTTTGTCCTTAAGATGAGAAGATAATTTTTTCCCTTTTAATGAGCCAGGAGAATACCTCTTCATTGAATTAATTAAAAATATAGACCATTTATAACTTTTTATTTGTGCAATGGTTATAATTATACTCTTAAAACAACTTCTTAAGCTTTCTAACTTACATTATTTTTCCTTTTATAGTATTGACCAATTAAATGTGAATTTGAATAAGATTTTTTTACGGGACCTTAAATAAATTGCCTTTAGTACTATCTAAATTCTAATCTAAAATCAGCAACTCTAGAACAGTGAGCTTGTGTAGATTCAAAAAAATCTAAATTTCACGGGAATTGGTCTAATCCATTTTTACTACTTTAATTTCTTTCTTCTCCCAATGATCTTAAAAATAAAATTAGGACAACTTGCATGTTTTAAACCCTCATTACTTTAATCACAGCAAGATGATTTTAATGAAAGAATATGAAAGGGAAGTGTTTCCTATGTAATTAACACATGTCCTCAGGAGTACAAAAAATAGTTGAATATAGTTTCTTGAGAACAAGCAAGAATGTTTAAGTAGGTCAATCAGATACTTAGGAAAATAACAGAGAAAAACCTTATATCATATCTTGTGACAGAACCTAACTTCATAAGCTTTTTTTATTCTATCAACTCAATGTGATCATTCTCAATGTGGTGGGCTTGTTGGAAATTTAAAATATTTCCTATCTTATCTGAGCAAATATATTTCTCGATCGTATTCAAATGAGGTAAGTCTTTAAGAAAAAAAAAATCATTCCTTTGCTGCCTAATAATAAAAACGATTCTTAAGAGATAAGTATGAAAATGCTTTATTGATGTTTGGAGACTAAAATAAAATGAACATAAACATATTTAGAACAGATATTTCTGGATATATCTAGTGGTTAAAAATGTATTAAAGGAGACAGGCTAAATTGCAAAAGTATTATATTGGACCCCAGATTTTCACATAGGAAATGGTTGAGTTCTAGCCAAACAAAAGAGTAAGATAAAGTTTGTTATCTCAAGTAGCTATTGCTCCAGCACACTGTGATATTTTTGAACATAAATGTTTTCTTAAAAATTTATATTTAACAGAGAAGTGTTTTCTTATCTAACAGACATTATCTTTAACTTTGAAAATATAGGCAGATATGTCCACCTAAACCACGTGTATATACAGAAGCCAACAGATCTGCTGAAAGAAATATAAGGTACAATGATCTCTATCTCTATCTATGTAATTGTAGAAATGATGAAGTTTGCTTTATTAGCATACTTAAAGTACAAGGCAATTAATAATAAAATAGACAAAATCAGTTTTCCAGCTGGCTTTGAGATAGTGGTTAATAAATATTTTTATATACACCTACAGAATTTTATTCTTTTTTTTCCTATCCCAAGCTTTACGTTAGGGAAACAACCAAAGTTGTCTCAACATGATAACAGAATAAAATCAAACCCCTTAAGAAAGGAAAACACCTCTCTATTCCCAGCACTTGTCCCAAGGTCTGTGATATAGTTGTATTGATGTTTATTTATTTATTTATAAATTAATTTTTTATTTTTTAAAATTTACATCCAAATTAGTTAGCATATAGTGCAACAATGATTTCAGGAGTAGATTCCTTAGTGCCCCTTACCCATTTAGCCCATCCCCCCTCCCACCACCCCTCCAGTAACCCTCTGTTTGTTCTCCATATTTAAGAGTCTCTTCTGTTGTGTCCCCCTCCCTGTTTTTATATTATTTTTGTTTCCCTTCCCTTATGTTCATCTGTTTTGTCTCTTAAAGTCCTCATATGAGTTAAGTCCTATGATTTTTGTCTTTCTCTGACTGACTAATTTCACTTAGCATAATACCCTCCAGTTCCATCCACGTAATTGCAAATGGCAAGATTTCATTCTTTTTGATTGCCAAGTAATACTCCATTGTATATATATACCACATCTTCTTTATCCATTCATCCATGGATGGACATTTGGGCTCTTTCCATACTTTGGCCACTGTTGATAGTGCTGCTATAAACATGGGGGTGCATGTGTCCCTTCAAAATAGCACATCTGTATCCCTTGGATAAATGCCTAGTAGTGCAATTGCTGGGTTGTAGGGTAGTGCTATTTTTAGTTTTTTGGGGAACCTCCGTACTGTTTTCCAGAGTGGCTGCACCAGCTTGCATTCCCAGATGTTTATTTTTTTAAGTTGACTTATTTATTTTTGAGAGAAAGGGAGTGAGAGAGGGAAGGAGGGGGGAGAGGCAGAGAGAGAGAGGGAGAGAGATTCCCCAGTAGGCACTGTCAGCACAGATCCCAATGCAGGGCTTGAACACAGACTGTGAGATCATGACCCGAGCCGAAACCAAGTGTCAGAAGCTTAACCAACTAGGCCACCCAGGTGCCCCTAGTTGTGTTGTTTAAATGAATAGGTGGAAATATAGTAATTTGACTGAACTAGTTCTGCAAAGGCTTTGCTAGTATTGGCTGCAAAATAAGGCCATATCCAGCTCCACTCACATCACCAGGAAAAGACTCACAAATTGTATTGATCTTTGGGTAAGGTTTCCCCATGACAGTCCTGATTTATGCCTCTTGTCTTGCACATCCCATCTAGTTTAGTATTTATTGTGGTTATATTGTTTTTATATTTTTATTTTTTAGAAAAAACACTATTTTTGAAATTAGTTTTGAATGATGCTATTTTATCGATTTATCAATATGATAGACCATTTTTTTTATTATGATAAAAAACATAATAGTAAGTTTACCATCTTATCCATTGTGACAACCAATGTTTCAAAGTTCAAAACTTACATACTTTTTTTTTTATTATTATCTCCCTTGACTCTCAGAAGAGTCCCAGTTTGAAACATACATCACATGGATACCTTACCTTTGGGGAGAATCACCTTTTCCTTCCACTTAGTAACTTAAATATAACTGTATCTCAGCATTGCCCAAGCTGTGTCCCATGTACCACAAGACGTCAATGCATGTTCTGTGAAAGAAGGGTTTAATGGCCAACACATTTAGGAGACACAATTAAACAGTTCTCTACCACAGGACTTCTCAGAAATTTTAATGTGTTTACACATATTCCGAATCTCTGAAAGTTGGTTATATTTCCCAAATTTACTTGACTGCAAAATTCTTTCTTCATAGAACCCTATTAACCTTCTATAAAACACTGTCTTGAAAATCTTAAATACAGGGACACCAGTAAGCGTTTTCCCTTTTTATGATCTTTTTATGATCTAGGGACACCAGTGTGGATTCAAATACTCTATGTGTCAGGTGATTCCTCCTACCCTATAGTTTAAAATATACTTTCTTTCCCTTTGGGAGCCTAAGAAGACAGATACTTTGACTGCATGTGAGGGACTAATTAATCATCTGGACATGTTGCTTAATGCTCTTTGGCTGTAGTTGAAAAACCTCTGAACACACTTCTGTGTTCACTTGTGCAGTTAACCATACTTTCTTTTCCATTTCCTTTTTTAAAGGAAATGTGGGAGAAGCCAATGTGTTTAGGAGACACTGTAGTTATTTCAGTGAGCATTAGATGCCAGAGCCAATGTCCAGTGAAATGACTGGTGTTTTGTGTATGTGTGTGTGGGTGTGTGTGTGTGTGTGTGTGTATGATATCTATCATATCAGCCCTATATCATGAGCAGGTATGATAGAACAATTTCATTATGCAGTTAAAGTCAGTAACTCCTGAACACAGGGACTATTGTTTACTGAAAACATAAGAATTTCTAGCTACTTCAAATATAGCTCTACTGTCATTGACTTGTGTTTATTTTTCATCATTTGAAGGAGTCAGGATCTCGAGAACATAGTCAAAGTGGCCACTTCACTTCAGAAAACTAACAGGGGGTAAGAGCTCAGAGCTTTGAGCTTATGTTTTTCTTTCTTTTTTTTTTTTTAATGTTTCAAAAAAGGCTTAACCGGTTCCTTTAAAAGTTCCAAATATAAACAAAATTCCAACGCTATTTATATAATTTAAAAGAAGAAAGAGTCCGTCTCTCTAAGTAAGTGTCCCTGAAAAATGGGCAACACTGACATTTATGGATACTTTTCTTCTTCTGCTTTGTCTTTTGGTGATTGTACTCATCCTTGTCACCTCCGCTGTCTGTGGTTTTGACCTTGTTCCAAGTCCTCGTCCTGTATTTATGTTGCTGGCTCAGATCTCAACTTCTCTGCCTTCCCAGCACTCTCATTTAGAGTGTCCTAGGCCATATTTACCTTCCTTCCCAAATGCACTATTTCCTGACTTCTTTGTGTTCTTTCCTTCAGCCAAGCTCACCTTTCTGGAATCATTCTTCATTCTTCCATGTCTTTCCCCTTAATGTAGTGTCACGCATATATGCATTAAATGCCTAAAATTCTCTTCATGCTCACATGGCCTCACCCCAGTTCAAACCTTCATGGGCACCATCATAAGTTAGAGTAGCTACCCAGATTTACTTACGGTCCCTCAGTCTCTTCTCCCCTAAACCATCACTGCCACTTCTTAAAATTCTGCTTAAACAACTACTTCACTGGCTCCCCCTTGCCCGTTCAATTACATATAACCTTTGCTAACCTGGCTCCAACCTAATGTTCCAGAGTTATTTCTGACTTTGCCCTCACATTTACCCTACACGAAATAGCAAATTAAACCACTTTCTTTCTGCAGTTTCCAGACATTGTGCCTTTGTTTATGCCATCCCACTTACATAGCAGCCTTTCCCAGCCTCAAGGCCACCATATCAATCCATCCAAGTCCTACGTATTTTTCAAGATCTAGATCAGATACCACTTCTTCTGTGAAGTCTTCACAGAATGATCCAGTGAGATCATTCCAGTGACTTCTATTTATCTAAGCTATTTGGACCCCCTATTTATGTGTTATAACAACTAATCATAATTGATGTTTCATGGTATCTATGTCAGCATCTCACCCTCTCTGTCATCTCTTCAGTTTCTTAGAGCAGATGTTTTGTTTTATTCACCGTAAGTCGTTTGCAGTGTCTAACAGGAATCTTTCGTGCAATGTAGGTACTTATATAATAGATTATGGTAAATAATGAATGAAAAGTGGGAGACCTGGAGTATAAAAATTCCATATTTTATAAATTTTTTTTTCAATGTTTATTTATTTTTGGGACAGAGAGAGACAGAGCATGAACGGGGGAGGGGCAGAGAGAGAGGGAGACACAGAATCGGAAACAGGCTCCAGGCTCTGAGCCATCAGCCCAGAGCCTGACGCGGGGCTCGAACTCACGGACCGCGAGATCGTGACCTGGCTGAAGTCGGACGCTTAACAGACTGCGCCACCCAGGCGCCCCTAAAAATTCCATATTTTAAATGCCATGCCTACAAAAATTCTCATTGCTTGGTGGAATTCATCAATGCAATGCTGAGTGTGATTGGGGACCATGGTCTCAGTCAAAAGAACTGAAGAGAAGAAACAGAGGTGACACATTGCTCTTCTGTGCACAAAACTAATTGGAGCTCTGAATCCAGGTGGGGACTCCAGAAAGTATCCTGAATGTTTCACTTCCACCTTCTCGTGTCTGAGTGCCTAGATCTCTAATTCTATTTACTTTACTTTTATGAGGTAATATTTTGTTTTTAAGAGAGATTGGACTCTTAAATGTTTTGGTGAGTGGTGGGGATGTTTGAGAGGGAGATATGTGAGTGATGCTGAAGGGAAGTTATGGTTTGGCACAAAGAGAAACACTGGAAACTACTGTCAGTCTTGTCCCCTCTCCCTAGGCACGATGCACGAAATCCACAGAAAGATGTGTTCTTTGCAGGGAGAAGTTACTGCTCTGGCAGCATTCCTCCAAGGGGAATGTGTGTTGGATTGACATACGCAAGGACCATTACTATGGGCCATCTGTAGGAATTGAAGTAGCTTCATTCACCTGAGCTGCTCTTTGTGATATTCCTTCGTGAAGTGGACTGTCACTCCTATCTGATTAAGAGCATTTAATTTCTTGCACATGCAGTGGTGAAATTTAATATTCAAAGCTTTTATCCATGTAAGGTCACTTTAAAAGCCCAACTTCTTTCTTCAGAATATTATCTCCATTTTATTTAATTTACCACAGATTGTCTTCTCATGATTTATGCCAATTTTTTTTGTGATAAACGTGAGCAACCCCAGATTCTGATAATCACGTTGTTGTGACTCACATTAGCTAGAAAGGTCTGGGGCTACAATTTTATAGGATTCTTAGGTTTGTCCTTATCCTGGGAGATATGGAGAGAGTCATACCCTCAGAGGTAGAAGGTGGGATTTCAAGCAAGAAACAACAGTGGGGCACTGTGTCAGGGATAGAATGTTAATTAATTCTTGTCAGGGTCAGCAACCTTTGTATTTCAGTATTTATCCTCAGCCTTCAATCCTACCACTGAATATGTAACATTGTTTGAAAAGTTTCATTTATGTGATGGCTGCTAATGAAACATGTTTTAGGGTCACTGAGAGGACTTGCCCAGTGGCTATTCTGGCAGTGCGTGGTGCCAGGCACCTTCAAAGCACATGAATGAGTCCGAACTATACTTCTCTAGCCTGAGCCAAAGTCTTGATGTCTCTAAAAGCTGTTTAAACAATAAATATAGCAAGCATTTATTTAATGAAAAATTTAATAGACTGGGAACTGTTTGTTATAATGGCCAAAATTAATTGAAAGTTTATGACTTGCCAGACAGCATGCTACAAACTTTATACTCATTAGCTCATTGATTCTTTTCTCAGGTGGGTACAATTAGTATTGTTGGACAGATGGAAAAATTGAGGCAACAACAGATTAGGTAACACACCCAGAGTCACCAACCAGTAAGTGGTGAATCCTGGATTGGGATCCAGGTACCCCTGACATGGGACCCTGAGTATGTAACTACCGAGTTACTTGGCCTCATGGTTTCCTGGTCAGTACCAGTTAAGACTCAAGAGGAACATTGAGAAAGTGTGGAAAATGTGTGATTCTAGAGCAGGAAGAAGGAAAAACCATGATTTGTGATCTAAAACTGGAAGGCAAGAGAAATGGAGGCAAAGTGGTGACAGAAATATTGAAGAGAGACCATGCTGTGAGGAGCAAACAGGAACAAGAAACCCTCTGAGGCTGCCTTCCTGGGGGAAAGACCTGAGCTCAGGTGGCTCTAAGGGATATTCTAGAACCCAGGGGCTTAGCTTAAACAGGTTGTTTGTTCCTCAAGAAACAGCCAGAAAGTTGCAGTTCTCAAAAGCAGAAACAAGACAGCAAATTTAGTGGACTTGAAATGAGATAGGAGCACAATTCAAGAAAGCAGCCAGACCTACGGATGAACAGGTGTTTTCCGATAGCTACTTTGTGAAGGTACATTATGCAAATGTATAGAATCTGTAACTAGTCAATGTACATATATTTGTTGATTCAGTCGAAAACCTGTATTAAGTATTTATTGTATAAAGGACACGGCATTAAAGACTGAAGAGAATCCACTGTAAAATACAGTTCTAAATTTTAAGTGGAGCGTGTGTGTGTGTGTGTGAAAGAGAGAGAGAGAGAGATGTAGGAGCAGGAACATTATCATGAGACAAGTGTGCAGTTGTTACATTACAAAATATAGTAGTCTAAGTGTCATAAAGGAGATGAACAAAAACAAAATGCAGCAAAGTTTCCAAAAATGTAGAGGACTCTATTCCTTTGGAGACCTGGGAAATATGTCTTGGAGAAAGGTATTTGAAAGAGCCTTGAAGGATAAACAAGATTTTCATAGAGGAAAAAGGTGGGGCCTGTGTTGTATTCCAGAGAACTAACCAAAACAGGGGTTTAAGGTGGACCGGCCCTTTGACTGTGAACAGGCTTTTATACTGATGTGAGATTTTTTTTGTTTTGGTTTTTCTTCCAAAAGTGAAGAATTGGATAATATCATCAAAATGAACAAAAGCTTGAATAGGTAAGATTTGAAAACATCCAATTTTTGTTCTATTACTGAGTTGCATATTGTGACTTCTTATGTCTCTTTAGTATTTGAGCACAAGGACCCACATATGGGGCTAATGAAAAGTGGCCTACAAATCTTGAATAAAAAGCTTGCAGGCGTCACTACCAATGAAAGGCTATTCCAATCTAAAGAGACTAATATTAAGGTGTCTTTGATTTTCATACTCTGTTTAGTGAGGCAGTTATATAAAACCACAGTTCTCTTCCTGAAATATTAGTATGCAGGCAGCGTTTAGTTTGGTCACTCAGTGCTTTCAGTTTTATGCTTTACAAAAGCCACTTATTATCTTAGTTAACTTTATCTCCTTAATTTTAAATCATTTATAATTGCTCACTTTAAAAATTATAATGATTGAGGTTTGTGTTGGAAGTGAGTGCAGTTTTTGCTATCTCTCTGTTCCTTTGCCCACCAACATACTAAATGGGTAGGAATCAGAGAAAAAGAGAAACTAGGCAAATGTCAAAGGAGCTCATTGATCAGAGAGATGTGGTTTTCATACCCTGTTCTGACAATATGATCTTATGATTGACTATCAACAACTCATTTAAGTTTGCTTCTATTCAGTTTATTCATTTACAAAGAGAGAGGGTATTAGATCAAGGATCACAGACTCCATGGGCTCCCAGGGCAGAAGGGACCTGACTGTATGAAACATAGGGCAATGCCCTGTCCAAGGACTCCAGCTGTTTCTCAGCTGCTGACAGGCCCAGTGTTGCAGACCATTCTCAAGATATCTTGAAAATCCAGGTTTCGATGTGTCATGGCCATCTTTGTAAACACTGGCTCACATTAAAAACAAAATGCTCTTGGGGCGCCTGGGTGGCTCAGTTGGTTGAGCGTCCGACTTCGGCTCAGGTCATGATCTCGCTGTGCTGACAGCTCAGAGCCTGGAGCCTGCTTCGGATTCTGTGTCTTCCTCTCTCTCTTCCCCTCCCCCCCTCACACTCTGTCTCTCTCTCCTTCAAAAATCAATAAACATTAAAAAAAAATGTTTTTTAAACAAAATGCTCTGAATCCAAACAACATGTCATGGATCTACTATGTGTGGATCCCCAGTTTGTATCTTCTATCTTATTTTTCCCTAAGGTCCACTGCAATTTAAGTTTTGAGTCTTTGAAAATACCTATTTGGAATAAACCAATTTCAAGAATTGTGTCTCATTGTTTGCAACCAGCTACTATTTCCTGTCTATAACTGACCTCTATATAGAAATATAAACTGGTCTATATTTCCTTAGAGTTAAGTATGTATTATTACCACTGACAAGGTTTTTTATTAATACATTTAAAGAAATCAAGGTCTTGACGGTCTCTTCAGAGCAAATCCTAACGCAGATCAAACAGAGAAAAGGTAAGTGCAGCTGTCCCTAACCTGAAAATATGGTCTCCCAGATTCCTTGCTGTGTTCTTTCAGACATTAGCTGGAAGGGAGTTGTATCCTCTGGCATGGAAATGTACTAGCAGATGGGGTAGTGCTCTCTGTATTGTACATTAAGCTCAGACATAATTGCCCAGAAGGATTTCTGCTCTTCCATTCAATAAGAGTAAATGAGCAATTCGTGAAAAATGTTTATGGTATCCGACCTTTTAAGATACCACAAAATTTTATTTCAATATGTAGTCTTTTTTACTGGAGTTTCTTTGTGTTTACAGAGCCAAGAGCCTTGAAAATCTCATTTTTATGAGTACCCGAACAGACAAAGATGACAAAGGGTAAGATTTGACTGAGACTCTTACAGCCCTCTTTGATTGAGTCCTAGACTATATACCATCCTGGGTTCAGCCTCTGGCTCAAGACAAGGCAGGCTGGTGGAACAGGCCCTCCCTGGATGGGGGTGAGGAGATGGGTGGATATCTTAGTGGTGGCTCTGCCACCAACATCCGTCTGGATGACCCTGGGCAAGTCACTTAACCTCTGGAACCACTGTGTCCTCCTCCCAAGATGAAGGGCATGACCTAGATGATCTCCAAGTTCCCTTTTGTATCTAAAAATGAAAAAAAAAAAAAAACAACTCTAGCTGGCTGTTACAACTAGTGGACTGGCTTATGAAATAAACAGATTTACTATAAGATGTTTTGATGCTGGGAGCACAGCCTCTCATCACTGAAGTCTTTATGATGTTCTAAGGCACTTTTCAGTTGGAATCTTGGTTGAGTCACTTCATATGTATATCATGGATATATTTATAAATATCTCAAGATCAAGAGTCCTGCTTTTACTTATTTTATATTATAAAAAGGGTTAGGGAATGATTAGTAACTGCACTGATAGCATTTAAGAGGTTAATTTATAGTTCTACACTGATACTGATGTACTAGAAAATTGACTTACATTATGATACTATTTTTTATGTGAAAAGAAACCGAACTCTTGACAGTTTTATTAAAGAAAATCCCGCAATAGTCAAGAATGATGAAAGGTAAGAATTTATGAGATCTTTACTGTCTTTCCCCCAGACTGGATGTTTACCTTGTACATGGTTAGTTCCTAGATTTACCTTCCTAACATGATAATTATTTCTATTGTCTCGATTATCTGTTAAAGCCATCTCTCTGTGCCAGTCTGTGCACAGAATGGTATTCTAGCTTTCCAAGTCAATCTTGGCAAATACATGCTGAGGCCTCTCTGATGTAGAACACTTGAAGTCTGTATGATGAAAAGGGTTGGTTTGGCAGTAAGAATTTCACCGATACAGAATCCTTATTAGCAATCTATTATTATAATGTAAATGTACAACTATTATTACAGGTAATTTTTTTTTTCACATGGAGAACAGATGAAATGGGAAAACAGTCAATTCTCTGCGAATGGTTATATGAGCTGTATAGGAAAAGATGTGATTTCCGATATTTAAAAAATGAAATTGGGAAGGGTCCACGAAAGTGGTGGAAAATAAGAAAATTAGGATGAGCATCTCAAGTAAATCATTTCCGGGCTGGTAAAGAGAAGAAAAGATATATGATTTATAATGTGGGATAACTGATAGGAACTGGCTTTTTGATGCAGGAATGACTGAGCTCACTGACCGGGAGAATCCATCCTTCCTTATTTTTCCTTCTTCCCGCCCTTCCTCCCTGCCTTCTTTCTTACACTGAAAGAAACTAAAATGCCAATAGTCTTATCATGGTGAAATCAGAGACAGATGAAAATAGCAAAGGAAAACACCTGGACAATTGGGGGGATTTAGAGGGATTAACTTTGATATCCCCTAATAGCTTTAAGCGATTTGCATGGAAAAGGTTTATTATTGTTTGTAGTCGATTTATATAAAGCACTGGAGACATCATAGAGTTATTTCTACTTTTCCAAGGGTACTTGAGACCTGGGAACTTTTTACTAAAAATGACATGTCTAAATCTTCAAAGGGTTTAGATTTATTTACTTATTTATTTATTTCTCTTTTTTGTTTCTTAATTTTTTTTTTTTTTAGTGTTTATTTTTGAGAAAGAGAGAGAGAGAGTGCAGGGAGGGGCAGATAGAGAGGGAAACAGAATCTGAAGCAGGCTTCAAGCTCTGAGTTGTCAGCACAGAGCCCAATGCAGGGCTCGAACCCATAAACTGTGAGATCATGACCTGAGCAGAAGTCAGATGCTTAACAGACTGAGCCACCCAGGGCTCCCAAAGGGTTTAGATTTAAAATGTTGACTGTCTCATTTCCACCCCTGATTTGAATGATTTTCATGTTTAAAGAAAGCAATATATCAACATTGCTTTCTTATATATCAATATATCAACATATCAATATATGATCAATATATGATCAATATATCAACAATTACAGTTAGCTTCCCACCAGTCCTCCCTCAAAGGAAAAAGAAAGCACAAACTGAGACCTGAAGGGAACTTTTGCTTTTAAAATGATTTAATGGTAAAGAAAATGTAGTGTACACACACACACACACACACACACACACACACACACACACTGGAATATTACTTAGCCATAAAAACAAATGAGATCTTGCCATTTGAGACAACATGGATGGACCTAGAGGGAGTTATGCTAAGTAAAATAAGTCAGACAGAGAAAGATAAATACCATATTATTTTACTTATATGTGAAACCTAAAAAACAAACAAAGAAAAAGCAGAAATAGGCACATAAATACAGAGAATACATAAATACATAAATACTTGAACTGATTGTTGCCAGAGGGGAGCGTAGTGGGGGGATGGGCAAAATAGGTGAAGGAGAGTGGGAGATACAGGCTTCCAGTTATGGAATGAGTAAGTCATGAGGATAAAAGGTATGGTGTAGGGAATATGGTCAATGGTATTGTAAGAGCATATTGTATAGTGATGGATGGTAGCTGCACTTGTGGTGAGCATTGTATCATGTATAGAGTTGTCAAATCACTATGTTGTACACCTGCAACTATTGTAAACATTGTGTGTCAACTCTATTTCAATTAAAAACATTTAATTCAATTAAAAAACATTTAGTTTACTTTAAAAATAAAAAATAAAGAGCTTGCAATCACTTGGCTTCAACCCACAGGTCAGGCTCTTTGACCATTAGGTCTTTTGAGAATATGAAGAATAAAATATTAGAGTAAAAAAAAAAGACCTGCAGATAGCATAGTCTAATTCCTTTGCTTATAGTGAGGGAACTTGGTGCAGAAAAGTGAAATAACAGGGTTGCAATCTTGTTAAAATCAGAACTAGACTTTGAATCCAGATCTCTTCCTTATACTGAAACTGGGCGCTAGGGCTATGATATATAGTAATAAAAGTAACCTGAAAATTGTAACATTGCATAAATGATCAACACAACAACTCAGTTCTAAATGGCAGGAATGTTTATTGTTTTATTAAAAATTATTCCCTGTTAGAATGATTTAATCATAACTGAGTAATGACTGGGACCTTACTATTAGAAAAGTTACCATATCTCTTCAGCATTTTGCATGAGAAGAGCCACTTGCATTAAACAGTTCTAAAGACTTCTGAGGCTTTAGGTACTGATAACATCTTACTCCTATTGTAAGAAATCTTCTGTTGCCATAAGAGACTGAATTCCTCTCTCTCCTCTCTGTTGCTCTGCCTTCCTCCCTGCTCCAATGTTATGAAGAAACCAAGGCCTTGGAAGTCTTATTAAAGTTAATCAGAGGACTGAAAAAAATGAGAAAGGTTAAGTGCAGGTCCTACTTTGCTGGGGCTCTCTTTTTTCAAGTTAGCTTTTCATAGGTCATTTGAAGTGGGAGTGTTATGCTTTCCTCCATCACAGATGAAGTGTACTTTAAGCCAATCAGAGAGTAAGCAAAGGAATATGACGAATGCTATTTCCATAGGACCACATGTTTGAGTTATACTGAACTAAGTACAGGAAATGTGCTACATAATCTCTTATTCTATACTTTCTTAAACAAAACATGAGCCAAGTTTTGTATTTAAATTAAGAAATATAAAGGACAAAATTGCAAAGTGAGAGCTATGCTAGGAAGCTTTTCTAAACTGATTTAAACTAAGTGCTGCTGTGGGAGTTAATAAAGATCAGCTAAGGATAATTACATCCAAGTTTTTTAGGTCATTTGGCCTGGAAATATCTGATACGCTTTCCGGGACACTCATTTATACAGATATCAGAGAAAATTGAACATAACCTAAGTGACACAAAATTTTCATGTGTTTTTCTTCCCCCCAGAGAAGCCAAGATCTCCAAATGATTATCAAAGTGAATGCCAGGACAGATAAGACTAGGAGAGGATGAGACCTGTTTTGATTTCTGAATCTTGGTTGATTTCCCCCAAATTTCACTGTGTGATCTTCTCAGTGTCACTGAAGGGGTCACATCTTTGAGTTTTCCCTCTGTCTTCTGTGTCTGATCCCTACCACCCTGATTTTCACTTTGGAGGGTCTGCAATGGATTCTATCTAAATTTACATTTGGTCAATATAAAATCCCAGAGATTAACTTAACTATATTAATGATAGGCAATTTTCATAATAAAATGAATTTAATACTTGTATAATAATTTTCTCCAAAAGTTTTCAATTAATCATCCAATAATATGGAATACTTAGTTATATACAATACTGTGGGAATTCTTGGAAACTGATCTAAATTTTTTTTTAAAGAGGTAAAGACCTGGATAATGTTATCAAAGTGAATCCCAAAGGAAGGGAAAATGCCACTGGGTAAGAATTATTTAGTGTCTTTAAGTTTGATTTTTGTAAGTGACAATCTTATGATAAAATGATTTTGCATTTTAGCTTCATAACCATATTTTATTAGCATGGAGTGAGACAGTAGCAGTGGGCCCCATGACCTTCCCTTTTTGTTCCTAATAAAATTACTTAATTTTTGAAGAACCGTCCGAATTTTTGATACTAAGTTGCCCTTTATCCCAGATTTTAGGGCTTTGATTTAGTTTATGGATGCATTACTGAATTGTTTCTTTGTATCCAAATGAAGCATAGTCTTAACAACGTTTTCAAGGTAGATCTCCAAAGTAGCAAAGCCAAAGTGGAGGCTTGACTAAAACCCTTGTAAATCAACTTCTCTAAGGATGATATGGTCTCTGAAGGCAACCCAGGGGAGGGACTGGCAGGTGTATCCACTGGAAATTCCACCACGGTTTCCCCTCTTCAGGGCTCTGTCAACATGGTAGCAGCACTGAGTCCCGTCACCTCTGTCATCCTCTGCCATCCCTGTGCACTGTCATCCTTTTGGGTTCAAGTCATCCCCTTTTGATATCGTTCAATGTCAATGCTCTTCTATGAGGGTCACTTGTGTACCCCTGAGAAATGACTCATTCATTTTCCTACCATGTGACGTATTGTTTTTTTTTTTTTTTTTTTTTTTTTTTTTTGCTCTTTGTAACTCATCATAACCTAATTATATTTTAAAAGGCTTGCATTGGGGAAATGGTTCAGTTTATAGGAAGACATATATTCTTCTCCTTATAACTTTTAAAATATTATTATTGATATTGTTCTCATTATTTAAAACCAGAATAAGCAATTATATCTGATTTGTTGAGTAGAAATCTATATCCTGTCTTGATCCAGTCTAGGACTGTATCTGACTTATATGACTTCTCCAATCATTGTTCACTTGACTAGTGTTTTACTTAATAACATGCATTAAAATTCATTTCTTTGTTCAAAGAAAACAAGACTTCAATGGATTTATTAAAGCAAATCCTGAAACAAATAAAAATATCAAGAGGTAAGACATGTAAAACTTCCTCCCCTTCCTTTGGCATTTATAAGCACATCGGAATCCTGACTGCTTGTCAGGAGACTGCATTGAAATTCAAACCAAGCTCTCTTTTTCCCCAAACAAATCATATTAAGCAGTTTTATACAAGTGATAGTCAGAAGTGATCTTTTGCATTTAATTTATGGGTAAAGTTTACTATCTGGCAGATTTTGCAAAATTAAATGGGAATTTGACTTTATTGAGTTAAATGATTCCTTTCTGTGTGTGTGTGTGTGTGTGTGTGTGTGTTTAAGTGTGTATGTGTGTGTATGTGTAAGTACTGCATGTGTGTGTATAAATGTATTTGTGTGTATATAAGTAGTGTGTATGTATAAGTGTGTGGGTATAAGAGTATGTGTACTCAAGGGGGTTCTCCAGAGAAACAGAAACAATAGGATAAGGAATTGGCTCATGCTCTTATGGAAGCTGAAAAGTCCCAAGCTCTGTAGTTGGCAATCTGGATACCTAGAAGAGCCAGTGATTTATAGTTCCAGTCCAAACCCAAATGCCTAAGAATCAGGAGAGCTGATGGTTTAGCTTCCAATGCCAAGAGATGTCTTAGGTCAGTCAGTCAGGCAGAAAAACTCCATTCTAACTCAGTCTTTCTGTTCCATTCTAATCCTCAACTGATTGGGTCATGGCCCCTATGTTAGGGAGGACCATTTGCTTTCCTCAGTCTACAGATTCAAATGTTTATCTCATCCCCGAACACCCTCACAGACATACCCAGAATAATGTTTGACCCAATATGTAGGCTTTCTGTGGCCCAGCCAACTTAACATATGAAATTAACCATCAAAATGTGTGTGTGTATATAGTATAACTACATGTAAATATATGTATGTGGTATGTGTGGATATAGGTAGATGTGTTTATGTGCAAACAATGTGTGCACATATATAGTGTTTTTGTGTGTAGCATGTATATATCTATGTAGTGTAGTGTATAAAAATGAAGAGCTTAACAAAGTGTACTTTGTTCTCCTAAGGCTGTCTGGGTTATTTCAGCTCAGGTCATGATCTCACAGTTCCATGAGTTTGAGCTCTGAGTCGGGCTCTCTCTCCTTCTCTCTCTATGTCCCTCCCCCTCTCACACACTCTCTCTAAATATAAATAAATAAACTTAAAAAAGAGTTCTCCTACCCATTAACTTTCAAGTAAATCTGGAAAGCTTATATTCTCCTGCTTTTTATTTTTTAAAAAGCAGATGGAATATATTTGAAACTGAGCTTGTTGGTACGTTGCTGAAACCAGTGCACCAAATAATTCCATGTGGTTTCCTTTGAACTTCTTTCCATTCAGTTAACTCAGTACATGATATTATTAGTTGATTCGAAAATGTGTCACTGATGTCCGCAGGCCCAGTTAGCAGGGCAAGGACTCAGCTAGTTGAAAAGCTGGTGTGCTATTCTCAGCAACATGACATGGTCCAGCAACGCAGGGAGTTCGAGACTTGTATTTGCACCCAGTAGACTGAGAAGAAAGCATTGATTTCTATGGCTACATGGGGGTTCAGGGAGGTAACTCAAGGTAGTGAATGTGAGCAGGGAATCCTAAAGACCTGGGTTCAAATTCTGGCTTGGTCATTTGCTAGTTCTCATGCTTCAGTTTACTCATCCACAAAATAGGGATCATAACATTATCCTGCCTGGCCCATAGTAGCTGCAAGAAATTGTGAGCAATGATAAAGATTCAGGTGAATTATGTTTTCTTAATGATTCAGATACTGTTCAAATATTTAATTTACTTTGATTTTCCAAGAAAAATCCATGACTTCCATGCTAATTTTTATTTAAAAGAGTATTTCAAATAGTCACCTCTGGTTTTTCATATGTTGGTGTGCGACTATGTGCATGCCTACATGTGTCTACAGGCAAATAAATGTTTTATGTGTGTGTGCTTGTGTTTGCATGAATGTGCATATATGTACAATTGCACCTTTGTATGTACACCAGTCCACATGCATATGAGTATGTGCATGTTTTTGCAAACGCACCTGTGTGTGATTGCATAACAATGCACACATGCTGTGTATACATGGATACGTGTATATCTATGCTTTTGTATGTATATGAGTACATATGTACATGGATGTGTATGTGTGTGCACCCATGTCCAATGCTTGGGAGTATGCACAGTGTGTGTTTGTGCTTGCTGAGAGCTTTTAGGGACAGTAGTTGTCTTTTTCTTTTACTACGCATAATTAAGTTCTGTAGATCTTTTATTTTTTTAACGTAAAAAAATCTTTTAATGTTTATTTATTTTTGAGAGACAGAGACAGAGTATGAGTGGGGGAGGGGCAGAGAGGGAGGGAGACACAGAATCTGAAACAGGCTCCAGGCTCTGAGCTGTCAGCACAAAGCCTGATGCAGGGCTCAAACTCACGAACCGTGAGATCATGACCTGAACTGAAGTCGGACGCTCAACTGACTGAGCCACCAAGGTGCCCCTAACTTTTTTTTGTTTATTTGTTTTTGAGAGAGAGAGAGAGAGAGAGAGAGAGCGTGCTCAAGCAGGGGAGGGACAGAGAGAGAGGGAGACAGAGAATCCCAAGGCAGGCTCCAGGCTCTGAGCTGTCAGCACAGAGCCAGACACGGGGTTTGAACTCATGAACCATGAGATCATGACCTGAGCCGGAGTTGGACACTTAACTGACTGAACCACCCAGGCACCACTGTATATCTGTTAAATGTAAAGCCAAATCCTGCTCCCTCTCTTATTTAAAAAAGTACAATATTTGTCCATTTCAGGTAGAATACAATTCTAACCCTTAGCAATTGTCTTTCACTTGTTCAATAAAGTTCAGCCAAACTGATCTTTTTTGTATTCCTGGCTCATTCCTGCTTTAAGACTTCTGCATATGCTATTCCCATTTTGGGACTGCTCTACCCTCATATTGTCACTTTCTCAAAGAAGTCATTTCTGACCACCAAATGTAATTGTCACCACCCCCTCCTCCAACCCCAGTTGTGTTCTGTGCCAGAACACAGGCACCGGGCACTCTCTAATTTTCTTCAGAGCATGTATTGTTATTTAGAATTGTGACATTCATTTATATGTTTGATTGTATATTGCCTGCCTCTTCCTGAGTTAGAATGGAAGCTTCATGAGGGCTAAGCCTATGTCTGTATTATTCACAGGTGTCCATAACTATTTGTGGATTGAGGGAATGAATAAATACTGAGGATGCGTACACTGTGGGGCATTGATTCACACAGTTTAGCTCAAAATATTATTTTAAATTACTGCATTAATTAGAACACTCTTCTTTATTGATTTTATTTACTTTGAGATTTAAATAAACCCTCATTGATATATGTTTTATTTAATATGTTTAAAGAGATCAAGTTCTTGGCAATATAATCAAAGCTAACTCCAAAATCAACACAAGTATTACAAGGGAGCGGTTGTAATGCTTACTGTTGTGTTATTTTTTTGAGTACTCAAATGTGAAAATAGAATCCTGGAATATTTTTTCTCTGACTCTGGAATTTAAATCTCACGTACTTCATTTAGGCAAAAATCAACAGGAGGTAAAAAAAAAAAAAAAAAAAAAAAAAAAAAAAAACACATCAACAAGGGGGTGTTCTGGGGTAGAATAGTTGGTTCTTTCAGGTTGTTTCATTTTGCATGAAAAAAAGTCCACACATTTTTTTTTGTTGCTGCTTTTAGCCTGGGTATATACATTCTCAGATATCTGGATAAAAGTAAAATCTTAAGTCAACATCTAGTTGCTTCAAAATACCTGTATCTGTGATGTTGTATAGATGCAACCTCAGAGACTTTGTGATACAATCTAGTAGGGCCACAGAGCATGGAGATACAGGGTATAAAAGTACCTTCTTTAGAGGAGCCTGGGTGGCTCAGTTGGTTAAACTCCCAACTCTTGATTTTGACTCAAGTCATGATCTCACAGTTCGTAGGATTGAGCCCCATATCGGGCTCTGCGCTGACAGCATGGACCCTACTTGGGATTCTCTCCCTCTCTCTACCCTTCCTGTGCATATTCCCTCTTTCTCTCTCTCTCTCTTGAAATAATAAATAAACATTTTTAAAAAGCACCTTCTGCGGATGTCCTTTACCCATGTGGCATCCTCTGTAGGTCACAGGGCTATTGGCTTGTGCTGCGCATGTGGAAAATAGAAACAATAAGAAAAGCAAAATTCCATTAAGATTAGAAACAGAATATTAAAAGATAACAACAAAATACTGACACGTTTTTAATGACTACATGGGGTTTTTTATTATAGTAAATATATCTTACATTTCAGAACTCTATAGATTTTAATCTTCCTATTGTTTGTTGCCAATGCAACTACTCAAAATTTGTAGTTTTAACACATAGTTATAAATGCCAGATAGATACCAAGTTCTATATCACGGAATTTAACAAACTGGTATATTAATCTTCATCCAGTCTTGTGAATAGAAAACCTACCAATAAATGTCAATTTTTCAAAATATGGATTCTTCAAGGTTAATTTTAAATTCCCACAGCATATTGGAAGTTGATATTAAGAGGATGTGCCTTCTGGAATGTTCCATGAGATGCATATATAGACTATTAGAAAATGTTTAGTGCACCTGGCAAAGGTTAGGAGCATGACATTAAACGAATCACAATAGAGACAGAGTTCCAGTGCAGTATTTGTGACTGGCCTAAAGTTGCCAAGATTAAAATATTGTCTCACTGAATCTCAGAGATGTATAAATACCTACATAGTCAACTTTAACATTATTCCATTCTTTGGCATGATCTCAGTAAATGTTAATAAAGTTTCTGAGTTTTAATAAATAGTTTTCATCATTTGGTGTTAATCTATCACTAACCTCACCATTTCTTCAATGTTTTAAAGGGGCCAGAGCCTTGACAATCTCATCAACGTGACCCCTGAAGTAAACAGAAGTAATGCAGGGTGAAGATTATGTCTTATCTTTCTTCCTTCCCTGACTGCATAAATTTGTGGCCCTCATCAGAGAAGCTATGTGGAAAAATCTTTGCATTGGAATCAGCAAGTCTGAAATCCATTACTTCCCAGCTGGGTGCCTTTGAGCAAGTCCCTTGAACACTCTGAGCTGAGGCTTCTTTAGTCATAAAATGAGGGTCATGTCTGTTCTACCTTTGTCATTTGATTGTTGAAGGATCAAATGACATAATCCCTTTAAAGCAAGAAAGCACCAAAAATGGAAATTATTATGAAAATATAGTTAAGTAACAGCTACAGTGTTGGATTAAATACTTGGGAGGTGTATGAAAGTTTTTGCAAATCATTATATTGTTCCTGATTGATTTTTTAAAAAACTCAATATTGCCCTGATATTATGGTTTTATTTTGAGGGTAAATAAGAATCTGAGCCAGTATATCGATGATCTATATGGAAGTCAAAATTTTACTTTTTAAAATTAAGGACATAGACTGGTATTGATTTCTCTTAAAACTTAATAGAAAAATTCATCTTGAGCATATATATCTTTTAAATAAATACTTAGTTGATTTAATTCCATTTTTACTTATCATTTTTTTTGTTTAAGTTCCAAAGATCTTGATAACCTCATCAAAGTGGTTCCGAGAACAGGAAAAAGTGTGCAAGGGTAAGTTTTAATATGCTTCTTTTTTTTTGTTTCACACATATCAATGCTTGAAAAGATAATTAAATTAATATTTTAAGAGACTGACACTGAGGTCAATGATAGTTTAAGAATGTGACCTCCCTGACCTCAGGTCTAAAATGGTTAACTAGAGAATAGGTGAACTAGAAGATAAAATTATGGAAAAAGAAGAA